CTTACATTTTATATTATATATAAATATATTTAATATATAAACATAACATATTTTTCTTAAATATATATATGCATATGTTTATATTTATATACATAATAAATATACACAGCATACACACATACTGTATATTATGAAACAAAAACTTTTATTTTGGATGCGATTAATCACTATTAATCGTTTGACAGCACAAAAAAAATATATATATATTACATACAATACTATTTCTTCTTACATTGCAATAATGGAAATGACGTTTTTTGCATTATGGAAATATGATTTTTGGGGGGTTGCAGGTTTCATTCAAAAACGTTATAAACAGAAATATGTAAGAATTTAAAAATGTCTTAACATTTTATCCAATCAAGTAACACTGGGGAAAAAAGGTAACATGATTGTGGCACAGTCGGTGTGAAATTTGTAGATTGCATTTGTTCTTCTCCAGTTATCAAACACCCCACTGCCTTAAAAAAAAAAAAACTGTGTCATGTGACTTGGATGCAATCCCAGTTGCTAAGACACCCTGAGAGATGGGGTATGTGTAGGCCCTGTCCCTCCATCCAGAACATGTTGTGATCAACAGATAATGCCTTTCATTATGGAGGGCTCAGTGAGTATCTGATAATTTTCCCCAGGCCAGATGTTTCAGCCACGGCCTGTGCGGAGAATCCAACAGAGATTTTTCACACAATAGGCCTATTACAACTGTGCAATCTATTTTATGCAAGCAGTAAGTGAAGAGCTGCTTTATTTTATGAGATTTAGCCACTGTATTTCAGAGCCAATATAAATGCAGTAAAATATTCCTGGATATATGCATACATTTTATTCGCTTTCTTACATCTATGTCTGTGTTTTGTCCAATTTATTTTATTTCATAGTCAGGGCTGTGTGTGTGTGTGTGTGTGTGTGTGTGTGTGTGTGTGTGTGTGTGTGTGTGTGTGTGTGTGTGTGCGTGCGCAGGGGCTCCTGGGATAATTTCTTCTCCATACCCCGGGGCGGCTGGTTTCGCCCCTGCTATCGGTTTCCATCAGGCAGGTAAGCTTTCCGACACAGTCACACTCTCACATCTCATCTCAGTAATGGAGGCAGCGTCGTGCGGCTCACGACAGTCTTCAGACTGAATAACAGAGGTATTAGAGTGTCATCACCTGCGCCACTTGCAAGACGCATCTGCAGACTGACACCAGCAAAATGAGCAAAGTGAAGAGGGACTAACACAAACAGAAGTATTGACGTTACATTTGAAAACAGCTTGAAAGCTTTGCATTCGGAATTGGCTATTGATTGGTTCGCACCGTTTTGATCAATACATCCAATTTAAGTGTATTACATTGCTCTGTAATTACATTTTTCATATAATAAAATGTAATAGCTAAAGTCACTGTGCAGCTTTACTTAAGTTTTAATTAATGTTTTCTTAAATACAACATTTAATATTAATCACATAATATTTATTTAAAAATGTTATAATTTAATGTTTTAATATGAGTTAAATACACTGCTGTTAAAAAGTTTGGGGTCTGTAAGATTTTAAAATGTTTTTGAAAGAAATCACTTTTCCTCACCAAGGTGGCATTTGTTTGATCAAAAATACAGTAAAACATTAATATTATGAAATATTGTTACGATTTAAAATAATTTTTCTATTGTAATATATGTCATTTATTTCTGCGATGCAAAGCTGAATTTTCAGCATCATTACTGTAGTCTTCAATGTCACATGATCCTTCAGAAATCATAATAATACGCTGATTTGCTGCTCAAGAAACATTTCTTATTATTATTATTATTAAGTTGAAAACGTTGTGCTGTTTAATATTTCTGTGGAAACCAACATTTTTTATATAGAAATATTTTATAACATTATAAATGTCTTTATTTTTGGTCAATTTAATGCATCCTTGCCAAATAAAATTATTAACTTTTGTAAATCATACAGACCCCAAACATTCAAACAGAAGTGTATTATTTAACATATTGAAAATGAAACATGTATTCACCCTCGAGTTATTCCAAATGAAATAATTTTCTCCACTTCTGTCACAAAAATTATGGCATAATCAAGGCCTCAGTCAAATAAAAGTACCATTAATATCATTACAAATATATCAGTATTTTAATATCAGATCTTCCCATCCTACATTATTTACCACTGAATATTTTTTCCCTCAATTCAAATAATTTGTCCTTCACATATTAAGCATGTTGTGAATGCTGTTTCACTCTCTAGCTTGGCTCTGTTTTCACACTTCTGACCCTGATCTCTGCTGGCTTTATTTAAACCTCTTACTACCCCGACCATCCAATTCAATACTCATTTGGACTAAATTTACCCAGCATGCCTGATCACATTGATTTAATAAGCTATTACAAGAAGACATTATGTTGTTTATCTGAAAGAGCGGCAACAGGTTGTGAAAACGGACGATTGTTCTAGAAGGTTTCCTTCCTCTCTCTCACGTTACCCCTCCTCTCCCGTCTCCCCTCCCCATCTGCCCTCCTCCCGCCGGGCTGCGCTCCGCTCAGGTCTGTCTATGCAGACGATGCCTGGTGCTCTGGGACCTCTCACCATCCCTTCATCAGCAATGACAGGACGGATGACCATCCACGGCATGGCCCCCACCACCATCCACTCTGTGCTCCTCGTCTCCAACCTCAACCCCGACGTGAGTTTCCCCCCCACCCTCAACACCACCATCCCACAACATAACTGATGTCAACACAAGTGACTAACCCTTCTCTGTGAGCCCTTTCACCACAAATCTCTCATTTATATGGCATAAAATTGGTTACAGCTGTAGGAAAGAGTTTACAATTATACTGCAAGTGCCCTTCAAAAAGCATTTAAGACCATAGTGGTTTGTCAAAATTCTGAATCTGTCTGTCTGTCTATCTGTCTGTCTCTGTCTATCTGTCTGTCTGTCTGTCTGTCT